AGCATACGTGAGCTGAAGCGGGATTTCCGTTTAATTTTGCTTTATCACAGATCGAACAATATTTATTACGCACCCCCATATACAGTACTTTTTTTGTATTATAACCTATTATTGACGCCTGTTGTGATAATAAAAAATTCAATAGTGATAGAGAAAATATCAAATAATCTATAAATATATAAAATAAAATACTTACTACACCAGACAGTGCATTATAACCACTTTTGTATGATCTTTTTGACCAAGCACCGTCGGCAATCACAGTTATAAGTGGTACTCCATTTTCATTTATACTACCTTCTTTTTTAGCAATTTCAGCTTCCTCATTTCCCGCTAGTATCATTGCTTCAATAGCCGTTTCATTAGTGTGATTTGATACATCTAAGTGAAGTTTTTGGTAAGTCATGTTTGACATACTTGGCATATTTAAAAAAGCTGCCATGGTATCTAATTGAGCAAATCCTTGTCCTGAGTTTATGGTTGCCATTACAATAGCGGTGTTAATAGATAACGAAATGTCAGTTGTCTTAGGCTCGTTAGATATAATGTCAATTTTATTGCATAAATCACATTTGAAAATAAATTCCGATTTTTATTTCCCATTTTACCAAATTATTATAAAGAAAACAAATCACGTTTTATAAAAACAAAATCTAAGTTTTAATCACTAAGTGCGTAAAAATCTTGCTATTTTACACTAGCGAAAAAAATACATAATAAACCAAGTCCAAGTGTAGTAATGACGTGAGGCGAAGCTCAAATAGTCAAATGAACAATATTTCATATTTTCATGTTATATTATTAAATTATATTTCATTCATACCAAATTATCAATATACGCAAGATATTAAATATCTTATTATACATTTTATAATTGTACCGTAGTAATACCTAGAATAGTATAATTACGATTTGTAATCTATCTATAGCAGACCGTGGCATGCATAGACATAATATATATATATGTCTATGGTGGCATGCGATATGGGTGAAGGAACGGTAGTGGCGGAGGAACTCTTCCGCACGCGGCACGCGCGTACAAGTCACTGTCGCATTGTCGCGCGCATGAACGATCCAGAACGTGTGTTTTTTTTACTAAAACTATGTATTTTTATTCCATCATACTGATCGCTGTAGTTATGCGATAATACTTTTAAAAACTGATTTGAATTCGTTATAATGTCTACTTGAGATCGGTCAGTTCACATTTTAAGATTTCTGATTTATATTCCGAATAATCAACGTTTGAAAATGCCGAAATTTCAAAATATTCAAACTAAATTTTTGGTTGTTAGGGGGGTGAAATTGGGAAAAATAGACTGACCGATCTCAAGTAGACATAATAACAAATTCAAATCAGTTTTAAAAAGTATTATCGCATTACTACATCGATCAGTATGATGGAATAAAAATTGGATGTTTTGTCTAAAATAACTGTCCGCCACCGATCCCCTTAATGGTAAATATATTTTTATATCAGAACCCGTTCATTTCATTACCCGTAAAAAATCGCAAATCTTAAAAATGTATGATTGTTCAACTACTTTTGGGTGTAACTTGCTGCATGCAGTAAGTGCAACTCAGCCAGGGTGGTAGGCAATCCGACTACTTGGAAACTTTTTCACCAATCACCTTGGTAAGCAATGTTCAATAATTCTATTTGATGCAAGCTTGTACCTGATCTTCCTGATCTTCGGAAATATTAATAATTAAAAATAAAATTTTCAATATACTTCAATGTCCCTGTTTGAGCACCTCTTTAAAATGCGAATTTTACCAAATCCTTTCTTATTGCACGGTGAAAGTAATAGAAGAACCACTATTCTAAATTTCAAGTTCGTACATTGAGTAGTTTTCATCAGTGAGTCAGTGGTATTTGGATTTTAGGTATATAATATATAGATTCTCTTCTCCTTCCCCTCCGATAAAAAAACTAAAAATTGGGCTACACGGCGACACTCAGGGAGGTATTTGGAACAACTCTGTGAATAAAAATTGGTAAAATATTAAATAGTGTAGTCACAAAATTGGAACATAAAAAATAATAACTCAAATCAACAAGCATGCCCGATATAAATAAATAAATAAATATATGAAATATAATAAAATCTTATAATAAAATAATTAAAAAAAAAAAAAACTTATTTATTAGCTGGCTTCAAGGTAACTATGCTGGCCACAAAAGTCAAAAGAACACTACTATACCATAGCTGTATATTTATTGTAGTAAACAAATAGTTTTTTGAAACCCGTCATCGTACGTTTATCTCTGTTCATATTTTTCTGTTATTTTTCTGTTTTTCTGCCGTTTATCACGTCGTAAAATACAAATATGGACGCCACAGTTCCAAAACAATTCCAACAAATGTATGCCAATAACGAGGGTCGATCTATAGTCGACGTTCTGGATTTGGCAGTGAACCTAAAGGTCACAGCTGCGGTCAAGTCACCGCGGAAACGCTGCAGAGGAGAGCACCCGGTCGTCACCGGAATTGAGTATTGACTCACCCGTATGCCTGGAGGACGTGCCTATGATTGGAGGACCATCGTCGAAGCCTGCTGGGCCTTTTAGCGTGGCACCGAATAAGGACACACTCGGGGAAACCTCGTTGATTGACGCGGCTGTCCTACCGATTCCTATATATTCCGAAGTCCCGGAATACCCGGCAACATCACGGTCTGTTGGTCCGCGGATGAGGTTCGCCTGGAAGAGGACCAAACGGTTCGTTTGGAGGTCGTTGGTGAACGTGGCACGCAGGGTTTGCTTCTGCCAACCCTTTGTAGACGTAGAGTAATGTCCACCAAGTTTTCGACTTCTCCCCTACCACCACCGTCTGCCCCCGCCCTTTAAGTTTGTAATACTTATTATTATGAGCTCGTTCGCCCGTCCGTCCTGTATTTTTCGCTCCCACGTTTGAGCCCGTTGGTGTACGCCGTTTTCCGAGCGAGTACTTGGCGTACGTCAAAATTAACTAAATTATTTTGTTTTTATAAATCAGCCCTGTACTTTGTAGTGTCAAAACTTCATATTTCTGTCCCGGCTGCAATCAGTATTAGGTAGGTACTTTATTAGTGAAATCTTCTTTGTCAATATGCATTCGCGCGTATACAGAGTCCACTTGTCCCTTTATTAACTTGGTCAATTTTGTAATAGATGTATTATACTATTACGGACCCTATATAATACGGTAAATGTGTAGGTAGTTAAATTATCCTATGAGTCGACCAATTGTTTATGTTTATTCCGGACAACGGGCCCTTATGTTTATAATAATTATCACTGAATTTTATAAATTTGTATTACCACTGTATTTTGTAAATTTGTATTATCACTGTATTTTGTAAATTTGTATTATCATATGAGACTGCTGTCTAAAAATGATGTATCTACTTATTATATGAGAAAGCTGTCTAAATTTTATCTATTATTATTTACAGTGTTTGAAAATTTCATGAATTATTTCAAAATGTGTGAAATATTTCAGTGGTTTAATAAATTTTGTTTTATTTTTAAATAAGTTTTATATTTACATATAGCCAACCCGTAACAGCTTCGCCCGTGATTGGTTGTTTATTTTGCCTCTGAACGATGATATGTATAATTTTGTATTCAAATTTTATAGCTTAATGTGATCGGCAAGTAAATATAAAAAAACTTTTAATGAAAGCGTATTGAAATGTTTCTAGCGGTATTAATGATAAATATATTTTTATTACCAAAAAAACGATCACGTGCATATCGTTGGCGTTAAATGGACCAACTCTATATATATGACTCAAACTTTGTTCAATTCGTTATTTATTATTCGATGTATGGTGTTGAAAACTTATCTTAACTTTTCCGTTGTGCCCAGAACAAAAATTCTGATTTTCAGCTGTATATACAAAAGTGGTACTATGACCTCCAGCAGACTGTCAAGTATAACAGTAAAAAATTTCAGGTAAATCGGTTCAGTAGTTTTCTTGGTTAGCGCGGTCCAAGAAAACCCTTACCATTTTATATAATAGTATAGATAATATCATTAAACATTATATAAAATGATAGGTACGATTTATAACCACACCAGTTAAACTTTGATAGTTGAAGCCCTGGCTGCCTGGTATCCCTTATAGCAGGGGTGGCAAACCTTTTTTGGGTCAAGTGCCAAATTTTTTAAATTAAGGTTTTGAAAATTTTTCACGTGCCCAAAGGAAATTATATTTTCTATTACCATGAAAATAAAGTTACGGATTTATTAAATTCTTTTCCGTCGTTCGTCGGTTTAAACGAGTCACGTATGTACCTACTATGTAGGTACTATGTATAGCTGTTATTCTACATATTATCCTATTATAACCAAAATGTTATCTATATATAATATACCTATAGCATAATTGTTTATAATTTTAATTTCTCGCGTGCCATTGAAATTTGACCAACGCGTGCCGTAGGTTCGCCACCCCTGCTTTATAGTCTGAAAATGGAGGAAAGAAATTTTTTACAATTATTGTACCCACATTGTATAATATAAAAATCAGGAGCATCTATTTCAATGCACCCAGTTAAAAAATCGTTTGCAATTCAGATTCGGTCATTTGTAGGCTTGTGTATTGAACAAATTTAAAAACTCTAGTAAAACTATTTGGGAACTCGCGTCGTATGCTATCTACATAAAAAGTGTATCTACCAAAATTGTGTGTTGGCGTTGTATGTTATCTACAATTTTCCACCCCGCAATTTGTAGATTGTTGGTGTCGTCTGGGCATCTAGACATTATTTCATTAAAGAACTCTTTTTCATGTCTTCAAAAAACTGGTCAAAAATATTCTTTGATGCATTGAGTGAACGCCACCACTCTTCCATCAACTGCCGTTCCAATAAGTTAGTGGCACCACGTGTTTTTATGCCATATTTTACTTTGACACGTCTCCAAGTAGACTCTATAGATTGGGTATTGGCCCCTGTTTTTGGATCAATGAAGTGGAGCTGGTGGTTTACAGTTTTATGCACATAGCCGTGGTCACTTAAACTGCTGTAAGCCCTCCATTCGTCCGAGTAACAGTATGTCTTGCTCTGACTGAAATGTTTGGCATCCTTTCTTCTGACAACGTAAACACTTTTCTTTAATAACTTTACCATCTGCATCATGGTTGCGAGTGTTTTTCATATACTCCTGAAGGGCCCCTCCACATGCTTCATTATTTGAATTAACTTTTTGGCATACTTTAGCAGTGGGTAAAACACCACGTTGTTTTAAGAAATTGGTGCAAAATTCATCATTGTAAATAACATGTCTATAAAAGTCAATAAAATGTTCCATTTTGATTTAACAAAAAATAATTACATAAATAATTTAATTTGAAAATAATTTAAGCACACACCACTTTTACGAAAGTCATATGTCTACTAGCTATGATATGTGTAAAGTGTAGACTGTAAAGTGTAGACTGTAGAGTGTATTATTGATATTTATAATTATACGGTTATACCTGCAATATTAGTCTCCGTACAAAGTAGATATCAACCAAAAGGTAGATAACATATAACGCGATCAAAGTTTAGGTAGATAGGTAGCATACAACGCGAGTCCCACTATTTGTCATTTGATAATATATATATAAAAATCTATCAAGTATTATATTTTGATTTTTTTTTTAAATAAAAAAAGATGTTTTTATAGCCTGTATGCAAGCAAACGCCAAAAGACTAGAAAAATGTGGAGAGCAAAATATCAGATCAATTAATGGTAATTAAATATTAATTGTAAATTAATGAAGTATACATTTATTAAGTTAATATTGCCAAAACAATAATGTGACGTATGAATGAATGTTGAGTACCTACAGAAGGCGAAGGTTGTTGTATAGCTTTTGGTTTAACAAAAATATGTCTACTGACATTTACAGAAAAAAAACCAAAAAATTTAAATAGCTCTAAACGAGTCAAAATATTTTGAAAATTGTATCAATTTACCATGTATTGAAAATGATAGTAACATTTTTTAAGAATATTTGATAATCTATCATATATTATGATTATGATATTTTGTTTTTTTTTAATAGCAAGGTTTTTTTTTAGATCAAAAATATGTCTTTGGCCTGCATGCAAGCAAGCTCCGAAAGACTCGAAAAATGTTGATCACAAAATTTCAAAGCCAGCAATATCAACTAACTACACGTACTTGATAATAGGATCAAGCATTAATATTGTTACTAGGAAGAAAGATTTGGGTATTCTTTTCTGTCCAAATTTAGATTTTCATTACTATATAGTATATAGAAGCAGTTTGCTGTCATGCGTTAAAGGTGCTTGGCTTTGTCATACGCACGTCAAAAGAATTTAAGCTCTCTAGTTCTCTCAAAGCTCTATAATGCTATTTCGTACGGCCTCTTTTAAAATATTCTTCCATTCTTTGGGACCCTTTTACGGCAGCTGATATAAGATACACTCAGTATAATATATAATTCATATTATTTAGGAAAAACCAACATTTTTATATTTTATTATCATTATTATATTTTAAATTAAATTTGTGGAAACAACTTTGACATTTATAAATAATTAATGATCTTTTTGTGTATTTATACAACAGCTGAACTTCTTCTTTATGCAGTTCTAGTAGTTTTTGAAATGTGTCAATCTGTAACATAAAAAAAAAAAAACATTGTCTGTTAGTGTGTCATAAATACATTCAATTCTAAAATTATTTATTTTTAAAAAATGTATAAGTGAAGCATAAATGTTATATTATAATTAAGACAAATCATAGCAATATAAAAATTCAAAAGTTAGAGGCTTAATGAAGTGTATTCAATCCATGACAAAATTGATTCAACGTCTTCACCATAAACTAAACTATGGTTCACTACTGTATGGTTCAGGAGCTAAGACTATCACTTAGGGTATTACAAAAATAAATTGACCTAAGGTTAAACAGCGGAAATCGGCAGGTAAAATCAGTGGGTTAAGCGTAATTGACTATATTAATATGGGCCCTTAAACATATACTACTGATTATACATTTTATAATAGAAAGGCAATCTCTATAAAATAGATAACCTCTATCTTTGCCAAACATCAAATAATATAGTTTACATAATCTTTCATGTTAATAGTTGTATTATGGTTGTAATAATATATTATTTAATGTTGGTCATAATAATTATTCCATTGTAATAATGGATATTTCAATTAAGAGTATTTTCTCTATAGAATTTATACTCAATGATAATACATCATGTATAAACTACAAATTCTAAGTTTTTCAATACAAAAATATTGTTTATCAAGGTATATTTTAAAAAAAAGTAATAAAGGAAAAGCAAGATAAATAAAAGTAAAACTTAGATAATATTTCTAATGGTTGTAATTACCTATACAGTAGAGCTTCGGATTTATTATTGGATAAACCAAGGTATCCACCGTTGGGTGAGAAATCTATACAATTAACTTTCCCAACATTATCGGATGTTGTAGGGAAATTAGAAAACACAGTTTTAGATGGTACATGCAACTGAAAAAAGTAATTACACATTATTATACATTAAATAACTAAATGATACAAAATAATAATATAAGGAAAATGTTAATATTACCAATTTAATTGCATCATTCTTTTGATTAGAAACCATAGCTAAAATATCAGAACTTTTGTTGAAGCTTAATTTTGAAACAGTGGTTAGCAAGTTTAAAATGGTTTTATCTGGCTTTGGATTTACATCGCAAGGTAATTTATACAAATTTACAACACCTGATGACGAGCCAGCTGCCAAATACTGATTGTCTCCTGATAGAGCTAAACTAGTGCCTTGGAGACAACCGTCATCCATAAATTTCTTTATACACGTCCGACTGTTCATATCCCATTCAAAAATTTCTCCATTTTCTATAAATGGTTAAATATTTTTCAATATTAACGTCATTATGGACAGTAAGCTAGATTCATATCTTATTTTTATGGTACTTGTTTGTTATCGCCCCGCCAGTACACCGTATAAAATTTATCACCCTGACACTCCTGTTTGTTATCGCCCCAGTACATCGCATACAATTTATCGCTATTGCTAATCGTTTGTGATCTATTTTAGAAAATGATAAAATGTAGTTTTATCGATCGGAGAAAACATTGTTACCTTTAATACAAAGTTATATAAGACCAGGCTCAATCAATTTTTCAGATTGTTGGAAAGCTTACAATAATTTGCAGCGAGTGGGGCTCAAACATAATACTGTAAACCACACCTATAATTTTGTTGATCCGGACACAGGGGCTCACACCCAAAAATATTGAGAGGTTGTGGGGTCCTGCTAAATGGGGCAAATAAAAAGCGTCGTGGAACTAACAGAAATTTTCTAGAATCATATTTGGCAGAGTTTATGTGGAGAACACGTCTCGGAGAACAAGACGCATTTGAAACTATCCTCAAAGATATTTCCAAATTCTGGCCTCCATTATAATTATATATTCATATATTTTATACATTTTTTAATTTAAATTTTATACTATACATTTATATATTTAAAACTATTAAAATAAAATAATATTATACATTGAAATATTTTTTTTATTTATGGAGGGGCGATAACAAACAAGAGTGGCGGGGCAATAAATTTTATACTGTGTACTGGCGGTGCGATAACAAACCAGTACCATTTTTATTTAAAGTACTATTGAAAAAGCTGTCAAGAACATTACATTGATTTGAACCTTGCTAAAAATGTATTACAAAATAAAATATCCTATTATTACTTTAAAATAAAAAATGTAAATAACAATAATAGTATAACAGTACTGATTTATGCTTTGGTATGGATTAGCATGCTGATAACATACTGTAAGTTCTTAGTATCCATACTCTGATCATGCTCTATTAACTGTTTAACTGTTCAAGTAACAAACTTAAAAACATAAATTTATATACCTCCAAAGGAATACATTCTCTTGCCATCATTGGTGAAAGTTAGGGAATTTGCTGCACCATTCATCTTTAATGTAGTTATCCATTCTTTGCTCTTAGCAGTAAATAAATGAATCTCGCCATACTTTCCACAAGAAGCTATTAACTTTCCATCAGGTGACATGCAAAAGTTCTATCAAAATTTAAATTTGTAAGAAATCAAAAGTGATGGTAATAGAAAACTATTTAAAACTAATAACGACTAACATCCATTCTAGTCTGTCCAATATTGTGATGAACAGGAACAAACATTGACCTTCCTTCCATTAAATCATAGCAGTAAAAATTTCTTTGTGTCCTGGAGCCAGCTACAAACTGTTTTCCATCAACAGTAAAATGTGCACAGTCGATAGCAAATTTTTGAAATTTAATAGATTGTAGTTTATCATTTTTAAATCCATCAACCTGTAAACAATAGTTTAAAATATTTGTAATTTAATAATAGTAATATATTCTAATAAGTAATAAATAGGTTTTCTTATCATTTCAATATTAGTATTTTTGTAATTCTAAATAAATTATTAGTGCTCTAGAAGTACTAAAATATTACTGCTATAGCAGTAATATAAAAGTGATTCTCGGAGGTAGGTACTTGAATAATATTAAAAACTATAGTGACCACAAACGTGTTAAAGATTTAAGTTTAAGACTCGGTTTAAAATCATACCTGTACAATTGAAGCTCTTCCTGAGATACCAGCAATTAATGCTAAGCTGGATGTTGGATGAAATTCTACTGATTTAACAATTTTTCCACAAGATGACGTTGACAAATTTAAATTGTGTAATTTTTTTATACCAATCAAACCTTTAGCCAAATTTACTCCTTTTTTTGTACGAGCTAAATTACCACTGTACTGAAATAATTTTAAATTATATTAATTTGTAATTAAGTACTTATTGGTTGTATCATGTATCATGTAAATATTTACTTTAAGCAAATCCAAATCTTCATCTTCATCATCTAGTAATACTTTTTTCGATTGATCTGTAGTGATTTCGGCCCATTTTGGTTTACCAACAATTCCAACATACTTTTGTTTCAAAAGTTTTCTCTGTTCTTTGCTAAATAATAAAATTTAAAGTAATGCAATTTAAAATTGTCTATAATAATAAAAAGTTTAACTCACTTGGATTTTTTGTCATCCTCATCTCGCCATGCTCGTTTAAAATTCTTTTTACCATTCATGTTTTTTTCTAGACAATCACTGGTAATCAAAATTATTAAAAACATGGATTATTTTTACAGAAGTTTTTAAGTAAATAAATAGCACAAACATTGTGAAGGTATGCACAAACATTGTGATAACTGAAGATACTGGAGATATAATAATGTAAGGTATAAATCAACATTTTTTTTAAAAACATTTCTTTTATATTGTTTGTTTATAATGATTGAACATAGTTACGTAAATTAAACGATACTTACACAGTTTCTGATTTATCCATGGTTTTGGCCTTTAAGTGACCAATTTATGTTCTATGGTAGCACGGAATAGAGATCAAGAAAGGTATTACCTAAACGTAAAATGTTCTATGGCTATATCGACTATCGTCGATTTCAGAACCAGACAATTTCAATTATTACGGATAATATTATGGATTTGTGACATTACATTACAAACAATAAACTTGAGCGGTTCACGAATGCCATGTGCAGTGCCCCTAAACTGATTAGTGATAAGTGATAGTGTTTTCCGCTCAGTAGCCAATATCTATGGTTCAAATGTTTATTTAATGTATTTATTATCTATGTGGGCACCGTCCTTGCGTGTCTACAATTTACGATTATCACAGAACCACGAATTAATATGAATAATTATCTTAATTCTTTCACTGAACTACAAGACGTAAGACGTTGTTCTAACACTATATCCGTGCTGGTAACTATTAATTAATAAATTTATGTTCATGCCTTCATGGTACGATTACTACGATTAAATCGTGGTTCGTGGTGGTAAACTGGTAACTGATCAGTGGTCCGATCACAGAATAGAATCGTCGTCAATTTAGCGGGAACTTGGGATTGATTGCTCAATCTGCCATGACCGGCCAGACCGGGAAGCCCAAAGACCAACACGAATACGAAACCGAAAATACCATCCAACCAACTCTGACGGATCGCCTGAACAAATATCTATTGTGCGTCTATTTGGATCGTTTAAACGAAGAGGACAGCGACAGCCACAGTGGTAGTCGGCAATTTGTTAGTGAAGACGACGCGGCCGACACCGATACCGAAGAAGCGTTTACTGATTGACAGCGCCGTTTATATTGTTCTTCGGCGGATGCCATTTCTGATTTTTTTTCCAGATCGGCGATGGACATTTTTGATGATAACGAATTCGAAAATTTGGTCGAAGATCATCATCTCGATGAAGATGCGAATAAATATCTAGAACCGCAAGACAATGACGAGCAAAATGAGGAAAAAAAAATTGTTCCAGTGAAGATCCGTGTAAGAAATCCACAGCCTAAATTGAATCCCGAAAGGTAATCATAATTATATTGTAGGTAGATAATGTAGAAAAGTGGCTTAGTAAGGAGCTACCTATGAACAAAATCGTTCAAGTGATTTTTCAAAGCTTAATTTTTAGGAACTAGCTCTCGGAAAAAATAAAACGAAAAAATCCCTCGACTTGCTATGCAACACCATCTCAAGTTAGTCACAGGGTAATCACCGTACATCCATTCTTATCATTTTGAATTTTCCTTACTCTTTATATTCTAACTTTGAAGTGTCGTAACCTCAAAACTATGCTCGAGCGCCAAATTCTGACTTCACTATTGTTTTCAGTGTACTTAAGTACATAAGTTTCTAAGAGATAAATTGAAACAAAAAAAAGGTGTCCCTTAAAGTGGAAGTACCTATATCAATTATATTCTACCAATTACCAATGTCTATGTTCTAATATGGTTGGTTAATAGCTTGTAAATAGTAATAATGAATTCAAAAGTTAGCTACCTGCAAATTTTTCCTCTTGTACCTACTATTAAAAAAACAAATTTTAAATTATAGATAAATCATTAAACTCAAGCAAGATTTCAAGTTATTCTTAGTTTTAGTTAGGCGATATTATAGTGCTTATTTTTCCTACTATACTCTGTCCATGAGACGGCATGCTGCTTAAATACTGGGCAGTTAAGCATATCCCTTGCTGCATTATCATGTGTAGCTATGTATTCATACAAAATTTGAAATTCCCAAATGTGACGGTCCACATATGATACTCAGAAAATGGTTTTTACTCTAGTTTTTTTTTGTCAAAATTTTTGTTTAAAATATGCCTCATTGTGTTATTTTACTTTCAATCAATTGTTGAAGCCTAATTTTGATTATTAATTATTAATTGTAGGTTGCGAGGTACTCGTGGGTTATCTGTACTTCCAACATGGTTTGAGAACATTCAGTTGAAAGGTAAAGGCCATGAATCTGAAGATCTCAATGCTGTCATAAACCGTCTGGAACAATGGACTCATAGATTATTTCCTAGGTATACATTTGATGACTGTATCGATAAGTTAGAGAAATTAGGAAAAAAGAATGAAATTAAGGTAATGTTGAAACGAATAAGGATGGATATGGATATCAATAATTGTGTAACACAAATTGAGGATGATGTGGTTGAACCATCACCCCCTCAGATTGATTTATTTGATCAGATTGCTAACACTGTAGATATATTCCCAGTAACATCTACTCCAAGTGTCAGTAACACTGGATTAACTGAAGAACAAAGACAAAGAATGATGCGAAACCGAATGTTGGCTGAGGAAAGGCGGCAAGCTAAGATAAGAGCTCGTCAAGAACAAGAAGTAACATTTACTGCAAAATTTAGTAGCATATAATGCTTCTTTCAATGCAAATCCTGTATCTTTTGATTCTTTGTAATATTATTAATAATTTACATTTGTCAACTGATTTATGTTCCATAAATCTAAGAAAGATTTATTTTTTTTAATTAATTATTAAAAAACTATAATTTTAAATATTCAATCAGAGGAAAATAATTTTTTAATTGCGACCATTGATATGTGAAATCAAATTAATGATATAAAGATTTTAAACTATAAAGTAAAGTTTTTGTATTTATCTACTCTTAATTACTATTGATTAAATATACAATATTTATATATTGTGAAGTGTATATTATTGTTATTACTTATTACCTACTTACCTAGTAAGTTTAAATAACATAATATACCTACTTATATAGTTATATCTCTATAATATTATTTGTTTATTCAGTGTAGTTTTTAGATTTTTTAGTTGCTAAAAACTAAAAATATGCCTGTAGAGATATTTTATGAGTGCACTACACCCGCATGTGTTCTCTGTCTTACAAATGTTTAACGTAACAAATTGCACTCTCAGCAGATCAAGTTTAGCTCAGTTAGTTTAAAAATTAGAATGAATTAACCTCTTATAAAACTTAAAGGTAATATTATTATGTAGTGAACCTCATAGGTTTTTTTTAGATTTTAATTTTAAAGCCAGTTATGAGTATTTTAAAATGCACAAACAATTAACAATTTTAAAATACTCATAAGTTGCTTTAAAATTAAAATATAAAAAAAATCTTATGAGGTTCAATAAATAATATTCTTCTAAATTTTATAATAGGTGAATTTACTCAAATTTTAGAAATTATTATGGTTATAATTATTATTGTAAATGTAAAATTTGCTATTTTGCTCGAGGGTCAGGGAGAGAAAACAAATTGTGCTCTAACCGTCTGACACATGAGTGTGGCGCCCAGCAGGTAGGCGGAAAAAAAGCCCACGGAAAAAAAGCCCAAGGAAAAAAAGCCCACGGAAAAAAAGCCCAAAAAAAAAAATACACTGAGGAAAAAAAGCCCAAAAATATAAATATAAATGTGAACAAAATATAATAATATATTAATAATACATTACTATACTATAACAGATAATAATCATAAATAATTGTATAAGAGGCATATATAGGTAATTTTATAAAAGAAATTATTAAAATTTCAAATATGACTTATACATAATATATAACTATTGAAAATTTTTAATGTATTTTAATTTAAGAAATATTATTAAGGTATATTATTATATAGAGGGTTTGATACTGCCATGAACTGATGAACCACCTGTCAATAAATTGCATTTTTATTACCCAACTATTGATAAGCACTTTTACATTTAATTTAATTTATATTATAAATCCTTATATTATAAATCCTTATATTATCCTGAGTATGAAAATTTTTTAATTTTTGACAATGGTATTAATTCCGAAGAAAGGATTCTAATTTTCGGGATTGTAGAAGGTATGAATAATTTATAATAATTTATGTATTTCTGGGCTTTTTTTCCGTGGGCTTTTTTTCTGGGCTTTTTTTCCTTGGGCTTTTTTTCCGTGGGCTTTTTTTCCGCGATTCGCCCAGCATGTCATTTTGATTTTGTCATCAGCTGCGCGTGCATCACGGTGGCCTCTGGGCTGCTGTTTGAATATCGTGAGGTGGCATGACATGATTAATATTAATCCGTGGGCATGATGGCCGTGTTATGGACTATGGTAATATTATGTTAAAATGTTATGATATTCTATGACGTGTTTAAATTTAAATTAAGTAGTATAAGGTTGAAGAATCCTGAATCGTATGAATTATAATGACAAAAATTAGCATGAAAATTCATAAATCATAATATAAGGGATAAGGTGCAATGAATGAGATACCTACTATAATTGAACACAAACATTTATTCTTATAAATTATATTACAATTCTACATATTCAAATTCAAAGACAGATTATAAGGGTGGGGGGAGGTCAGGGGAGCATCTGACCTCGGGTGCAAGATTTTAAAGAATGTATTTAGAGGAAAACACAGAATATTAGGTATTTACCGTTTTATTTTGATGAAATGGACAACTTTTTCATGAATAGATCGATTTCGTAAAGGTACGAGTAGACAGTAGTTATACTGTTTGCGATCAGACATCAAAATTAATAATTATATTATAATAAATAAATATTAAAATTGTTTGACTATTAAAAGTATGCAACTGATACTTTAACTAAGTAAAATCTAAACAAATTTGTTACTAATGGAGTAGTAAAAATTACCTCCCACTATAAATATAAATAATTGTAGTGTTATTATTTTTTTTCGTCTAGATAATGTTATTACTTGTAATTATAAAATTGATAATTATAGTATATTCATATTTCATAAACAAGAATACGATTAATTTAAAAAATATTAACTAATTTAAAACATTACATTATTTAATTTCACTGTGATATTTGCCAATTTGAGATTCTACCTACCTACTGTACAATTATTACTAAAGGGCACCTACCCGTTTATACATAAATAAATAAGGGGGACGAGGTGGCCGAGCGGTCGAACACGTCTGCGGTGCTGGCGGTCGCGGGTTCGATTCTCTCGACCACTGGGCGGCATTTTTCTCCGGGCAAGTCACGGCGTCCGGAGAACAAGTACCGCCATCCCCCACCCCGGGGCATGGCAGAAACTTACGGGTGCCCCAATAGAAATTCCGCCAAACACAACACACACGTGTAATAACCCTACAATTTCAAACCCTACTACCTACAATCATAAACCCTACAATCAAGCTAATGGCCATAGTCGCCGGGCTTTAAAAAGATCAATTAAAAAAAATAAAAAATAAAAAAGGTGGGCAAGTGGGTGTCGCTCTGCTGTACAGTAGGTTACATGTGGGTCACTGTATAATGGATGGTATTAAATTTGAATTCAATGATATAATATCATTGTATAAGAAAAACGATTCTGAGTCTATGTTTAAGACATATTATATACATATATATGGTAATAAACAAAAAATTGACCTATAATAGGTACCTATAATAAATTCCAAATTAATCATATCACAATATCCATTAGATACTTATAACGCGTTATACATCAACAAAAACTGTGATACTATCATAGATATATAATAGTACACTTTTGAAGTTTCAAGTACCCACGAATAATATTATTCAATCACAACAAAATAACTAAAATAGTTATTCTAGGTTTTTTAATATGTAATTTCGTCCAAATTTGAATTTAAAATGTCTGTAAAAATAAGTGTGTTCATATATTTTTTAGATTTTTTGGTTATAGTATGAACTATTTATGAGAACCTTTGTGTTGAATTTGTAATCCTTAGCTATAAAAACTGAACATTTTATAATTTATTAATTACAATGATTGATAATTTTCGAGATTTTGATAAATTTTTTCAAAATTTGATCTTTAAATGCTTATAAAAAAAAACTGTGCCTATGTATTTTTAATATTTTTCAACTGCTATTGTAACAATATATCAGGAGCCTTGTATTAAATTTTTACACTTTTTGGCCCAACAGATAAAACTTTATTGATATTTATAGAAAAAAAAACTAAAAAAAATTGAAAGCTGTAAATGTCCATAAACAGCTCAAAAAGAGTCAAAATATTTTCATAATTGTATGGTGTATAGAAAATGCTAATTTAAACATTCAGTGAAATTTTCATGTATCTACAGATGTTCGTTTTTGAATTGCAATAAAATAAGGAAATCGCTACATGAGTATACGAGTGAATATCCAATGTAAAAATTTGAATTTCAAACGCTCATAAAAATTTAATTTGACTGTCCGGTAGAGATTTTTTTATTGATAAAGGTAGATAATCTTATAAGGAATCTTGTGTTTCATTTTCAAATCTTAGATTTAAAAAGAAAAAATTTTTACGAATTCCTAACTCAAAATAATTTGCTAATTTTCGTGATTTTTCCATATTTTGTCAATTTTTGAACTTTAAATGCTTATAAAAAAAAATTGTGACTAAGGATTTTTAATATTTTTCATCTGCCTTTGAAACAATATATTAGGAGCCTTCTATTAAATTTTCAAGCTTTTGCAACCAACAAATAAAATTTTATTGATATTTTTAGAAAAAAAACTAAAAAAAAATGGAAAATGAAAATATCCCTAAACAGTTCAAAATAAATTAAAATATTTTGAAAATGTTATCGTGTATAGAAAATGCAAATATAAACAACCAGTGAAAATTTCATGTATATACGTTCATTTGTTTTAGAGTTACACCAATAACCAAAATCGATTTTTTGGAAAATCGATTTTGCGTAAAAATTCCTGTTTTTCCTTAATTTTTATGTTGTTTTTCACGGTGCTTGTGAAAACTACTGGGAAATTTATACTTTTGACCCCCTAAAGTATCAACTAGATTCACTTTCCTATCAGAAAAGCTACTGATGAAGAAAATCCAAGCACTTTTACTGTCTTAAAACGTGATGACAGACACAAAAAAAAGAAATATCAAAATATAAAAACATACATTATTGTAAAACCAATACATTCATCGCCCCGCTCAGAATCTAAAATAAATATTTATATAGCAATATCATATAATAATTATAATATAATATGTACCTATTTATGATTTATCAATATCATAAAAATATTTTCAAGCTTCCAAAATACAGTATTCGATCCTGAATCCTTGATCATTAGCCAATATTGACCCACGTCATCAAGTAATCTTAATAAATTGTAAATTACCCACCCTCGCACCCAATCTTAACAATTACATTAATATTTTTTCATACAACTAAGTTGATCATAAAAATGATAAATTATTTTTTAAATATTTCAATAATTGGTTTAATTCTTTCAATAATCTTGATGTTGAAGCAGCTGTTGCTAATCTTTTCAAAGACGTATTATTAAAAGCTCTAGCTAATTTTGTACCCCCAAAAATAGTTAATAATAACAACAAATTTCCTTGCTGGTTTGATAAGGATTTCACAACCCTAGCCTGGCAAAAAATTAAGGTTCGTTCCAT